GCCAACATCTGTCATTTCCTGACTTGTTAATTTTAGCCATTCTGACTGGTGTGAGGTGATATCTCATTGAGGTTTGATTTGGATTTCCCTGATGCTGAGTGATGAATTCAATATTTGGAAAAATGGTGTCCTATACTTGAAAAACATTATTATGTTACCTTGTTCTGATTATACTTACTGAGATCTTCATATCCAATATCCACGTATATTTTAGCAAACAGAGATGCCTGTATAAAGCCAATGATTGGACCAATCATTGATAGTGCATGCAAAGTACCTGAAAATATTATAAAACAATTTTATCAAATGCCAAGGATACATGGTTCTTTTGCAATACATTTTTTAAAGTAACATTATACATGTCTAAAAATACTTTTTAATAAATAAAAGAATGAATGTAGGAACACTATTATTTCAAGAGTGGACCCAGGAAAGTAGTCATAAAACTAATTTTCTGTTCATTACCTAAATAAAAAGAAGAATGTCCTTCTTCAGCAAAATCATCAATGTAAGAAATCCCCAAGGGTACTATGGGGGTTTCCCCAATTCCACGGAGCATATTACCCAGGAGTACATATATCCATATATATGACCCAGATTCCTTTTCACAACCTATGTAGACAAGATAGTGTTTTATTTTAAATATTAATTTTAGCATTCCTATTAGAAACTCAACTACTTCAACTCCTTAATTATTTAAGATTTTTTGCTTTTTCCTAATTATAAGAATGATTCATACTCATGTTACAAAATTTGAAAATACACAAAAGCAAAAAGTAAACAAGTAAAAATTAAATTATCTATAATCCCACCAAACACAGAGAGTTGCTCCTTGTGTTTGTTATATCTTCCACATTTTTAGTTCACATAAAAATATGCATATTTATGTACATTATATACTTAAATGTCCAGCTCATATTATAACATACTTTTACACTTAACACCATATTATGTCAATTTCCCCATGTTTTTAAGATTTTTTTATACCAGAATTTTAATAGTGGTGTTCTGAATAAAAGTTTTGTACTTTATTTAATCGATCCTTACTTTTTACTCATGAAATATTTTTTTTAAGACCTTATTTATTTAAGAGAAAGAGAGCAAGCATGAGTGGGATGAGAGACAGAGGGAGAAGCAGACTCCCTGCTGAGCAAGAAGCCTGCCACGCTGCTAGATTCTGGGGACTCCAGGATCATGACCTGAGCTGAAGGCAGAAGCTTAACCAAGTGAACCACCCAGGCATCCCTCATGAAATATTTCTAACTTTCCGTTCTTTTAAACAGGAATGCCACAGCTATAATTGTAAATAAATCCTTGTGCACATTCCTGATTATTTTCCTAGGTCAGTAAAAGTAGAATCGCTGATTTAAGCATATATGCATATTTTTGTTCTTTACTATATTGAAAATGTACTTTCAAAGAGTTAGAAACTTATATACTCCCAGCAATGCATAAAATGTCTTTCCCTCTACGTCATTTCTTTTTATTTTTGATAAAAATAGGTAGAAAATATTTTTATTTTTAATGTTTTTCTAATAGGTAGAAACATCTAAAGGTAAAAAAAATTATAATCATAATTTGTGTCTCAATAGGTAAAAAATCTTTATTTAGTGTAGTGTTTTTCATAAAATTACATTTTTTACATATTTATACCACTTCCCTAATTTAAATGCATATATTCTTAGCCAATTCCCTACTGAAATATTCTTCTTTTCTTATTGTTCTTTATATATAATATATATTAACATTATTTTTTCTTACATACATAAGATGCAAATGATTTTCCTGTTTGTTTTTTAGTCACTTTTGCTAATAAATATCATAATCATTTTTACAGATATAATTGAGTTGACCGGTTTTAGAATATTTTTAGTGACACTATCAGTTCTTACCTTTTTCTACTACTTCAGGTGATGTTCTATTGAGTAACAAATTCTGATCAAGTGAACAGGTTGATAAGCTTGATGTTAAATTTTCTGACGGATCAGTAAGAGTTTCTTTAGAGTACCTGTAACTGTAAGAATATCACCAGATTTAAAATTTTGCTTATCTACTGAATAGTTATGCTTTCCCAGAAATACAGAGGAATTTTCCCACTTTAATTGCATGATTTTCTTCTCTAAATGATCAGAATCCTTTTTGTCAATTTCCCAGCCTGAATTTTAGGGGATGTGATGGGTAAAAATGAAATGGGAGTGCCCACTAAGAAATATTATTCAATACTTCCCAGGAAAGGTGGATTATCATTCTAGGAGTGCTTATATTCGTTCAAGATATGAAATACCTTGGTTTCATGTTTTGTTTAAAAAATAAATAAATAAAACAACCCTGCTAACTGTGTCTATCCATCCATTTGAATTATCTTCAAAGGTGGTCACAATCTAAACTTCCTGGTTAACTTTCCGATAATACTTAATGAATTTTAGAACAGCATTTTACAAGTCAATCTACAAAGCATACCAATTCATCTACATTTTTAAAAAGATTTTATTTATTTATTTGATAGAGAGAGCATGCGTGCGGGCCCACAAGAGAGCACAAGCCAGGGGAGGGGGTGGTGAGAGGCAGAGGGAGAGGGAGAAGCAGACTCCCCGCTGAGCAAGGAACCTGATGCGGGGCTGATCCCCAAACCCTGGGATCATGACCTGAGCCAAAGGCACACGCTTAACCAACTGAGCCACCCAGGTGCCCCTCATCTACATTTTTTATCAATAACCTGTCTGGTTTTCTTTCTTAGATACTCATACCCTTCTCCCTCCCACATACACTCAAATGTCTGACTCTACAAAACTTAGTTTTAAAAAATTCTAGTCCCCCAGTTCGATGAGGAAGAACTTAATAACAACAGAGATGGAGCTAGAATAGGGACAAATGCTGATCCCAAGATACTGAGTTACCCTGTGAGCTTCAAGGGCAGCCTACTGCAGACCAGGCATTATGTTCAGCTCTAGAGAACTAGAAATAAAACACACAGCTTTTGTACTTAGGGTATTATGTACTCTATAAAATAAACATATATCTTAAAACATGTGATAAATTTAATATAACAGGTCCTGAGTTGTCACAAAAGAAAAGGGGATGATTAGCTTTCCTTGGAGGTGGGAAAGGGGGTGGATTACAGAATTCACAACGAGGATGACATGTGAAATAAAAATTAAAAATGGATAGGAGCAAAAACAATGGATAGGAGCTTAACAGGTAGACAAAGAAGGAAAATTATTCAAGGCTGTAGAAACACCATGTGCAAAAATATAACGTATTATGGCACATTTGGAAAACCACAAGCCTAGAATGTGGTTCTCCACCCTGAAGAGCAGTGTTAGATGAAGCTAGAAAGACAGTGAAGATATATGTAAACGAGTTTAGATATTAATCCATAGACAAGAGGCATTCAATATTTTCAACTATGACCAACAGTAAGAAATACATTTTGCATCACACCCACAACATATACATATGCACACACATTCACAAATACATGTACAATCAAAATAAAAGTTTCACAGAACAATATTTGTTCTCACATTGTATATTCTTCTATTTTATTCTATCCTATACTCTAAAAAATTGTTGATTTCAATAATCTGAATTGATTTATTGGTCCACTCATGGTTCAGAATCTGACGCTTGATAAAACACTGTATAGGAAATAGGGAGTTTTCAGCAGGAGTAAAATAATTAGATTTGTGTTTTAAAATGAATATTTTAGTATAGAATATGAATTAGAATGGAGTTGAGACTGAAGGCAAAAAGTCCAGGCCAGAGATGTGGGAAGCTTCAATGAGGTTAGGGACAATAGGATGAAAGAAGGAAACAACTTTGACAGATAGGAGGTAGAATAAGCAATATTTGGTGACCATTTGTCATGTGTGTCAAAATAATGAAAGAATCTAGAATGAGCCCCCTTGACTTTGGTTTGAGTTCCTTTGGCTAAATGAATCATTATTGAAAGAGTCAATGTGACAAATCTGAGCTGGTTTTGGCACAGTGATGAATTTAGTTTTGAATATATGGATGGGAAATTCTTATCGGATGTTATGCTGGCGATACCCATGAGGTGATTGATTATATAGATCCCGAGTGTAAGAAAAAGTCAATGTATGTGATTGCTACATTTAATGCACATACTTCATACAAATACTCTAGAATGAAGTGAAGAAGATTGGAGAGAGAGCTTAGGGGATAGTGACATTATGGTGTCAGCAGCAGAATAAAAGGGTGGGCATGATGAAGAAGCCACAAATACAGGAAATAAATCAAGGAACATAATATAATGAAAATAAGAAGCAGCAGTACCAGGAAGAAGAAAGTACTTATGAGGGTCAAATAAAGGGGGGATAGGGAATTGCTATGGTAACCAAAAGGCATGACTGTTGGCTTTGGCAATGAATAAGTAATTAATATCTTTAGCAGAAACTGTTCATTGTCTCTCAATATCCATTCTTCTCTCCTTCCAATGTAATAGAAGATGGGATTCTTAGCTAGGAGCATGGCAATCTGGAATAAAGTCTAGTTATTCCAATGTCTTTATATCTGAATGTGAGATGTGACAAAGTTCTGGCCAGTGTGAAGTTAGAAGTGTTATACTTCTGAAAATACTTCTTAAGCCCCAGCCAACGTGCACTGTTTCTTCTTGTTCTTCTTCCCTTCTTTTATCTTGTTGCGTGGAACAACATTGCCACAATTTGGAACGTGAGGTTGAGGCCATGCAAGGCAGAGCAATACAGTAAAAAGAAGCAAGAACCTATCATGCTTGGTCTGGCTACATTAATTTTTTTATGTGGAAAATAAGCTTCTATCTTATTTAAGCCATCACTATTTTAAGTTTTCTGTCATTAGTATCCTACTCTAATTATATTATACCATGACCTTAAGAAGAATACTCTCAATGGAAATGATAGAGGGTTAGGTGATGAACTTTTATTGAATATAAATAAAATCTTGTAGGCAAAGACATGAAGTAAATGTTATACCATAAAGTCATAAAAAGTTCATTTATTTCCCGTGAAATTGTATACTGTACTTTGTGCTAGTCATATCTCAAAGTCAATGAAAGCCATGGCTGATAAAGCAATAAGTTACTTATAACATAGAAAATATACTTCATTTCTACACATGATTAGTGGGTATTCTTCTCAAAAGATGACTGCTTATTTAAAAGAAAAAAATGAAGTTTTACCATTAATTTACAATTAAATGATAATTAATGACATAGAACTGTTTAACACTTACTATCCCATAAAGAAATGTGGTAAAGCAGTCAAAATACTTCCAGTTCCCATAATGAAGCAACCAATTCCAATTATCTTTGGTCTGTGTAGTTTGGATCCAAAGTAACTCACAAATACAATCACAAACAAATTTCCTAGAAAGAGAATAAAATTATTTTGATATGATTCACTATCAGAAACATTGCCAGTACAATTTTGTGTCCAATAGGATGGAAAGCCCCAGATGAATACAAATAAAGCATAAGATATGGTGCCTTTCCCCAAAGGTCATATAATTTAATTGAGAAGATGAAACCCACTTACATTAAACTACTCACTGTAAAGTTGTATGATGTTAAGAAGAAGAAGAACGAAATTTAGATAGGAAATAAAGCACTTGAATAACTTGGCAATATTAGTGAAGCAAAATTTTATTGAAGAATTTGGAGTTGACTGAATTTTTATTTTTTCTTATTATGTTATATTAACCACCATACATTACATCATTAGTTTTTGATGTAGTGTTCCACAATTCATTGTTTGCATATAACACCCAGTGTTCCATTCAATACGTGCCCTCTTTAGTACCCAACACCAGGCTAACCCATCTCCCTAACCCCTCCCCTCTAGAACCCTCAGTTTGTTTCTCAGAGTCCATAGTCTTTCATGGTTTGTCTCCCCCTCCGATTTCCCCCCCTTCATTTT